TTTGACACATCTGAAACCAAAGTAGAGAGTTCAGACTCGTGCAATAATGGGCGCAATTTTTTCACCCGAATTTCCAGTAGTAAGGCCCACCTGGGCAAAGCCATGACTGGTTATGACTTTTAGTCAAGTTATTGGACTCTGGCTCTTAGCACATGCACTAGGTAAAAATGACGTAATAAAATTCGTCGTAAATATTGGGGTCAAGCCCACAGGTCACTACAGCCAATTTATGACACTCAACTCCTTAGTTGGACTTAATCGGTGCAGTTTATTATTTAGCTCGCCGGCTGCGGCATCGAAGTCCACATCTAGCTTTCAACATCTGTTCCCATAGATGAGCACATCACTCTCAAAAATAATTTATTTAGCCTCAAAATGAAACCAAGCAAACTATGTTATTTATGTAATTTCACTTTATGGTGGGCTTTGTTTATACGAAATTACTGTAGTCTATAGGGACTAGTGTTAATTAGATAAAATTAGCTGTTATGGTGGGCTTTGTTTATTGGAAATTGCTATAGTCTGCGCTATAGAGACTAGTGTTAATTAGATAAAATTAACTGTTGAGTGGGGAATAGTTGCATCTAGTGCGCTCATGGAAGACAGCTTAAAATTCTGGTGGTAATGAGAGGAACCCATAAGATTAATTTTAAGCATAGGCCAGGAAATTTGACTGGTTGGAAAATGGAAAATAAAAATTCCTGTATACCTAATAATAGTTGAAACTAAGTCAGCACAATAAATAAGTGTCTCAAGTTAAGTTAAATTTAAGGATCCGAAGTTGCTATCATTCTAAATTAATCTTTCGTTTAAATTATTTACAGCTCGATCTACACACCCTTTCAGAAGCCCAGCTAACCGACGTGGTAGAAAATTTGTCGGACGATTTACACGTTGCTCCATTCCTTGACCTCACGTTTGCTGGGGTAAGTGTTTTTTATCCAAAGTTTTATCTATTGTTTACTGAACTGTGTATGCAAATCTTAGTGGCGACCTGGCAGTCTATCCTTGCCGTTTGACCCTATCTTCACCTGGCGCATTTATTAAATTTTTCAATGTTGGTCGGCTGAGAACTGTATAGGGGGATTTATAACTACTGCAGTTCGAGTTCCACATCCATTATTTCAATTTCACTTAGGCCAGTATGACAACTACATTTTCTCAAGGCGCTGTTTTGACTGCCATCAAGTTTGAAATAAAAAACCTGGAGAAAAATTAGAAATAAATTTATAATACTATAAATAAAGCCAAAGTTGGGTCAGAGAGGATATCTTTCAGCGCTCATTTCGGGCAGAGAGGGGAAGAACCGTGGAGTCTCCTCCGCGAGAAACTCGAAGTCTCTCACTATCTTAAGTAGCCGAATTTAATCACTGAATTTGGTTGTTTCATTCATTTAGTGTACACTGCTTGACTCCAGGTCATTACTTCTAGCTTTGTAGGCCACAGGATTCTTGCCGTTACCCGATCAATTTTAGGCACATTTATTCACTTCATAGTAAAAATGGAGACAAAATTTTAATCAATGTGTGCATTTGGATAAAAAAGCCTGATCGAAATATTTACAAGAAAAATTTACTTTTGAAGTCAGAAATATGTCTGGTTTCCGACAGAAAATGCGTATGCTCAGCAGGATTTTCCCAAAAATATAATCATATGTCGCGCCTTACATTCAATTTTACTAGTTGAGTGGCAAATATTCAAAATTTACCGATCCGTCTTCACTATTTTTATTTCAACGTCTTTATCAATCCCATCCTAAGGTTGAAAGAGAGACTGCTGAGGCAACAGATGGTCCTGAGGACGCGAATCGTAAACGGAGTGGGTTTTTGGCCCAATTAATTAAAAGATGTGTGCGGTTGGGTCAACATCTCATTGATGTAAGTCAAATTTAATTCCATCCAATAGGTAGGTGCATCTAAGTTAGCTTACATTTGTTGCACTTTTATGGAAGTTAAAATTATTGTTAATTATAAAAGTATTGTTTTTTTTTAGATTCTAGAAGACGCCTTTCCCTCAGCGATGCATGAAAGACTTTGTTATTCATTAAGGTGTTATTCCTTTTAAAGTATCGAGAATCGATACAATTTTTCGCATTTGATGTTTTTTAAACTATTTTGATTAAAACTCAAACTTTTGTAATAATACCGCTGATAAATGAAGAATTTTAATTTTTGTTGTTATAATTTGTGAATTCTTACCTATCGAAAGTAGAACAGAAATAGTTATTTTAGTTATTGGAAGCAACTATGTCAATACATTTGATAGTTTTAATTCCTTTGATTTTGATTTGGATTGTACAAAATTGCGGCTGATGCTTGTCCAACATATTCGCTGCCTCTCAGTCGACATTAATCAATAATGGAGAATAAGTATCGCCGTTTCACCTCATTTTTTTCCAATGGTAGAGAATTCAAATGTTTTCATACCCTGTTCCACAGCTTACACTTTTATTACATCAGAGAAGAGACATAAAATTTGTAAGTTTTCAGAGTTTCTTAAGCTGCATTCGTTCATTGTGAACGCGAGTGTATATAAAGTATACAAACGCGGGTGGTTTTCGATGGTAATTGTGCTATTTGAGCGCCTTCTAGAAATAAGTGTGGAACACGCTTATTTATTATTGAAATGTCTATGAGTTCATCGTGTAGAAGTTTAATACTTTCTTCGCAATAATCAAAAAGGTAAGTGGTCGTACATTTATTTATATCAAATGGCTGGCTTTATGATAATTATCATTAGTCCTTTAGTTGACTTCGGTACTCACATAAGGGAGGAAAATCAATGTCACAAAAAGTCGAGAGGATGAACAAAAGAGTGATCCTCAGATGTAAAAGAGAAAGACAGATACAAAGGTAGAGAAAAGGTAAGGTGAGGTGAGTAATGTGGAAGTGGTCGAATATGACATAGTCGGGTCATGGCAGTTTGAGGTTAGAAATTAGCTGTCATTTTATAGACTGCTGTATGAGCATACCTTGCACAGGGTGCACCAAGTGAAGGCAAGTTTATCGCACACCCCATGGTTGTACATGATATTCCACATTTGACGGTGATGGGAAATGAACTTTTCAAGTTAGCGGAGTTCAGTATACGGTTTGCAAATAACGATTTCTACATATCTATTAACGTTTCTTATTTTTTAAAATAGTTACAATAGGACGTTATGTCATAGCTTTTGGACGTTAGAGTGACACTGTTGAGATAATCGAATTATATCATCCCCCTATATTAATGAGACTTAATGTGGTTGCTCACCGAAAGATATGCAATCAACAACTTTCAAAAATCTGCACCATCAGTAATCCAATCATTATTCGAGCGTTTTTGGTGATACCTGATAAGAAGCTTTGCCCATTTTATAATTGGCTGCGGATCCAAACGATGAACGACACTGGCTCCTATTGCTAGCACAATAAATAGCACAGTGATAAAAAAATAACCAGTTCTAAATCTTTATTTCACCTTATCTCTGTCAGAATCACTTTGGTATATTTTTACTATGGTTTGAAACCACAGGAAGTTATTTATGAAAATCACATTTCATAATGCATTTTTGGCATTTAAATATCACGACTCCTCCACTAATTCAACCCTAAAGCTTATCAATTAATTTCTTGAAATTATTTACATTTAAGTGGCAAATTGCTCAACTCGATTAAATTATACGATATTGTAAATAGGTGTATTTACAAAAGACAGGCTTAAGTTACTACACCTTCCACGATCAGAAATTTATATTTGCTCATCTCAATGAATAAGATAGTAAAATTAAATTCAAATAAAGGAGGAATTTGGTAATTATCGCCAAGTTTCACACCATCATGGGGGTTGTCAATTTGTTTCATCTTACTTGCCATATTATTACTTTATATTTGCCAATTGAGAAACACTTATATGAATATGATATAACAGACATTTGTATTTAAAACAGACACATGTAACATAGGTTGGATTGATAGAATCTTCAACCTCAAAAGTTTCATTTTATAAAATGTATATTTTGAGAATTGGAGTTAGAGGTGGAGGATTCTAGCACAAGAATACTTAGGACCAATAGTAGCAGCGATCCGTTTCGACCAATCATCAATGTATCGCTTGTCATGCTATTGGCTCGCTTCGCCTCACACATCACCAAGACCATTATCTTGGTCCATTGGCTGAATAGTATAAGAGCCGAGACTAGGTTTCAGGTAAATTGGAAGTACCACAAAAATGTAGCTCATCTTGTTTTTGCAATTAATTAACCGCCAAATCGACAAAAATTCTCTGAATTCAATAATGAAAAAGGGATTAAACAAATTTCGCCAATTTGAACCAAATTCGAATAATAATAACTCATTAATTTATTATATTGAAAAAATTATGTTTAAGAATAATTAACGATAAAATTAAGACTTTTTTCCAATTACAGTACCATATAGCCATTTAACAACGGGTAAAGAGCAAGTAGTAGTAGCACGTTATTACTGAAGAATTAGAAGAAACGTAAGTTAACACCAAAATTTTGAAACCTGCCATCACACTGAATGTAGTTTGACTAGATGATAGTTCGAATGCGATGTATGCTCAACTAAAAGTGCGTTACTTCCTCTTTTATTCTCTCAAATAAAATCGCCTTATCTATAAGGTATTCCTTTTTAGACTCTTTGTGAATCACAATTCCTACATCTTAAGATAGATGAGAACGTTGAAGTAATTGAAAATTGTGGTTTACCTGAAATCCATGTATAAAAAAGAAAGCGGAAGTTGGCTTTTTAAAATGGAATTGGATTTTGGTTTTCGATTTTTTATACTCATAAGGCAAAGGGGGCCATAAACTGACAGTTGACTTCTGAATTCCAGTTACCATGGTTCGACTGCATGTCATATTTGGCACTTCCAAAATACTCACCTTTCCTTTTTCTCAACCTCTTTGTCTGTCACTTTTATTTTTGTGAATCACTCTTCTGTCTCCCCCCACCTCATGTGGAGGCAGTAATCAACTAAAGAGCTAATGATAACAATCATAGAGCCTGCCATTTGATATGAATAAATACATATATGCAAAACAACTTTGAGGAAATTACGATTCAACAAACCTATTTCCCAGAGAACTATATTGTATTCAAGTTTATATTCTCGTCTAATCAGACTATCTCTATTTTATAATTTCAAAATTTATCATAGACGCCGTTGAGTGGGTTTAAGGAATAGGACTGGATGAGATAAGGTCCGTGAAGAAACGTCTGTGCAGTAATCGGGTTTATTTATGAAGTGCAAATTACAATAGGTTGATCAAGGACATATAACAGAGGAATACAGAAGAAATTGTCACAGGTGAGCATTTCGGTCGGAACAATTTGGTGCAACTGTATCTGCCTTTTTGAAAGCATGGCCAAACGAGAAACCTACCACTAAAGACTCACATCTTAAGGGGGTAACGAATAGACAAACAAAATATGGCTGTTACAAAGAATAGTAATAAATGATTCTCCACGGAAACCTACTGAAAGCCTCAAAATGCTGCTACTGATAAATTAAAAGTAGGCCACTAATCAGTGCGGAAGCCCTTACCAACAACAAGACCAATTTGGGTTAAATGTGGCCAATGAAAACTAGAATATAAATTATACCGAAAATGATACTTATGTCGTGGGAGATGGTGGTGATGATTATGCTTTATTTGTGCCCTTCAATACATCTTAGTACATCACTCTATCCTTCAACCCCGTATGGCTTTTTCTAGCCTTTAATAGCATATAAACTTACATGCGAGATCCTTTGAAATGACTATTTATTTTTACCACGCCTCCTTCAGCAGAAGCAAGTTTTCAAGCAGCTTTTCCTTTAGCTTACAGTGGAGTGGTCACTTAGATTTTGAGATACGTAAGCAGAGTGGAGCCTGAAACCAAGTAATAGAAAGGCGATTGATTGACCTATTATTATAGTTATTATTTAGGGGTGTGCGATAGACTTACCTCCACGTGCTGCACCCTGGGCAACGTATACTCATGAGGCAACAAAGTCTATAAACCGGCAGTTGACTTCTGAGTTCAAGCTATCATGACCCCACTGTAGGTCATATTTGACCACTGCCACAGTACTCATCTCACCTTTCATCTACCTTTGTGTCTGTCTCTTTTGCATCTTTAAAACGCTCTTCTGTTCCCCCCCCCCCTCGACTTTTTTTCAATTTGATGTTCCTCTCCCTCTGTGAAGCCTGAAGTCAACTAAGGGACTAATGATAACTATCATAAAGCCTGCCATTATAAATAAATAACTATTATTTATACTGGTAAAAAACCTGTACTTATAAGGTTGGCAACTAAGTCATTGCCGATTTCAAATAAGAAGGCAAATTCGGAATTTTCGTTTAAAAATATAACTTTATTCAATTAGATATTGGCCGTTCTTGTCGATGACCTTTTTCCATCGTTCTGGCAGAGTAAAAATTCCCCGTTCGTAAAATGTCTGGTCTTTGCTATTAAAAAACTGAATTAGGTGTGATCCGACATCATCCGCGTTGTTAAAAATTTTACCATTTAAAGAGTTTTGCATGGAACGAAACAAATGGTAATCCGAAGGCGCAAGGTCAGGGATATATGGTGGGTCTGACAAAACATCCCAACCCAGTTCGAATAATTTTTGCCGAGTAACCAAAGATGTGTGGGGGGGGCCTTGCGTTATCATGATGGAAAACAACACCCTTCCGATTTGATAATGCCGGCCGCTTATCTTCAATTGCATCCTTCAGTTTTTCGAGTCCTTCAACATACACATTTGAATTTATCGTTTGGTTCTGCGGCATGAGTTCAAAATACAAAATTCCTTTGTGATCCCACCACACTGACAGCATAATCTTTTTTTGGTGAATCTCTGCTTTTCATACTGTTTGGGCTGGTTGATCTTGCTTCACCCATGATCTCTTGCGAGTAACGACATTGTTATAAACTATCCACTTTTCGTCGCCAGTAACTAGGTTCTTCAGAAATGGATCATTCTCATTGCGTTTCAGTAGCGGCGAATCACAGATGCTAATCCGTTGCGTCAAATGAATTTCCTTTAACTGGTGAGGGATCCATAAACCAAGTTTCTTGACATAACCAAGGGTTTTTCATTTTTTTTCAATGCATGTATGCGACACATTGAGCTTCCCTGCAATATCTCGTGTTGTGCTGTGACGATTTGAATCGATAATGGCCTTGATATGGGTTTCATCCACTTCGACTGGGCGGCCAGATCGTTGTGAATTTTTCAGTGAAAAATCACCGGAACGAAATCTTTCAAACCAATTTCGACACTGCCTTTCTTTTAAGGCTTCATCTCCATATACGGCACATAACTTCTTTTGTGCTTGCGATGCGTTCTTGCCTTTTCGGAAGTAATACAATAAAATGTGTCGGAAGTGCACGTCCTGTTCTTTCATTTTTAAATTGGGATAAAAACAAAAATAAAGAACTAAACAAAAAAAAATTTTTACTAATTAACCTAGAAGCCCATACAATAAGAAAAAAATATAGGTTAGATGCTCTGGCCACGTTAACAAAACAAAAGAAAGTATAGAATGAATCCGTCAACAAAAACGACAATGACTTAGTTGCCAACCCAATATAATTAAGATATGACAGCTAAACTACAGAAGAATCGATGCAAGCTATGTTTATTCCTTCGTATTTTGGTGAACTCTAGCGGCGTCATGAGCAGAATATTCCGGCATACTCCATACAAAATTGTGTAGCACGGATCCTGTGACCTTACCGGTTTCTAGCACCCACTACGAACCACAAAGCTCGTTGTTGCTGAAAAAGGAAGCGAACTAAGTTCATGAGAATTCATAAAATGAAACAGAATCCTTTGTCAGTTTGCAAACCATAGAGAACAACATGGATGATCAGTAACCAATGTAGCACTAGCATTTGGAGATATACTCGTCTTCAAATTCAAGCCGAGGGTGGGGGGAAGGGAGGGGGTAGTGGCCATTATGCCAATTGGTTGTTATTTCTCGCATATTTTTACCTAGTGAATTTTTGTGGAATTTTATGCCCTTTTCCTGCAGATCATTGGCTCCAAGTCTTCACTGTTGGGTCATATATAGAAAACCAAGCAAACGTTGGTGCAGGTGTCTATTCTGAACTCTTCTCTTTCTACGCAGCAGTGGGACACAATAGATCCGCTTTCGAAGGAGAAATAGAGACCATTAGGATAGCACTATGCCAATTATGTTGCCTGGATACGAAATTCACCAAAGCGGTGATACTTTTGGACTCACAGTCAGCAATAAACTCAATTGGAAGCAGAGAGTCACCCAAAACAGCAGAGATAAAGGAATGTAGAAAGCTCTATGAGCTGCTGAGAGAGAAAAACAAAACAGTGGTCCTACAATGGATTCCTGGTCACTGTGGCATTAAAGGCAATGAGCTTGCTGACACACTTGCTAAGAAGGGGACAACGATTTTGGAATGCATGGACCGGCCGATGTCTTTCCACACAATGAAGACCTTAATCAGGAGAGAATTCAAGACCTCAAGGTACAACGAACTTAAAGCTCGAACAAAGGAGAAACAGTGGACAGTGGCACTCACTGACATAGCCGACTGGCCAAGAATCGAAGCTGTTGCTGAGTTTAGACTACGTACCGGACACGATTGCTTGGCAAAACACCTTCACAGATTGGGAGTATACACTCAACCCACATGGCCCTATGTAACCTACAGGAGGAAATGGAGAAGACCCACCTGATTCGGTGTCCAACCCTAGAGACAACGACGGAAAGCCAGAGATACTGGGAAGCAAGAAGACAGCTAATGAACTGCTATNGCTTTCTTCTTCTGTCATGTTGACAATAAACTTAATTATGATTTTGTCGAGACATGATGTATTTAGTAATTTTTAAATTTCCTCCTTTACGTAGTTACGTCTAATATTAAAGAAAAGTTTAAATTAACTACCATTGCTGATGACTGTACCCTTCATCCCGTAATTGTACTTCCATGTATTTTCAGAATTTGAAATTGTACTTTTTCTCCGCCATAAACATTAACGCGAGTAGAGGTTACCAAATTGTGTTCTCAGAAATCATTTAGAATTAAATAATTGAACTATTTAAATATATTTTAAGTGCATCAATATACAATAATTATTCAAATGAAATTCGTGATACTCCTAAACTCGTGAA